GACCTCATCGCCACTTCGAGTTCTAACCGGTTACATTGGCGACACACTTTACCTCACATTGACTATATACAGTATTGATTGTCCTTCCTCCTTATCTTCCAACCATTTCGACGTAAACTTGCATTTCCCCATAACGATGTTGTTTAACAACCGGCGTAAACGGACCTTCGCGCGCCATCAAACAGTGAGCGTGCGATGTCCCGTTCAGATGACGTCAAATCCAACGGGATGCCATAAATAAACTACACAGAATCACACTACACACCTACGCAATGATTACATTCAGGCAGACTGTAGAATACAACCTCTTTGGACAATTGATATACTTATTGAAAACAAGCTACAAAATGTTTAATACTTTTTAATAGCCTTGATGTTCGCTAAATGGATTTATCAACTTTTAAGACCCCGCGGACACCCTGTAACACCTGAATCACTGAGCAATATTCTGCCACAGCTTCCATTTATTAGAATAATGACATTATGTTACAGAACAGGCTACTAGACTGAGAGGTGTGGACACACATGCATGACTCCACACAGATGAATCATTAACAGGGATCTGTGAAGACTCACTGTCTACAGCATGTGCTCAGTTTAATTATTAGACAATGTTCGAAAACACAGCTTTTTCCAAGAATATGGCTCGAAACATGAAACTTGTGTACATAATTTAAACAAAGAAAATAGATAATGATGTGAATTTGTATTTGGAAACACATAATAATGTTGAAAATGTTAATTTCTCTTGTGTTAATAATATTTGTAATAACATTTGCAGCAGTTTTGAGTTGGCAGGTATAAATGTGAAATGGAGCTGCAGCTGGATTTAGGATTGAACTTCCAGGTTTATATTGATAGATGAGAGTAACACCTACGTCACTAACGGGCGAAAATTAGGGCCCCGCCCACTTAAAAAAAACAAAAAACAAAGCTTTCATTTGAATGGCGGTCAATACAAATTCTGAACTTTTTGCCAATCCGATCAGAAATGTAAAAAAAAAACATGGATTTTTGAATCTTCAAAGAGCCCGGTTACGATGGCCAGTCAGGCAAACAATTACATTAAATCATTGGAAATCGACAATCGGGCTCGATATATGGTTAAATTAAAATCATGAGGCGAGGCTGTAATTTTCGCCAGATGTTACTCTCATGAGCGAGGCGGAAAATAATAGTTTTATCATGCCAACAAGCTGCTGTGTCGTTTATTGCACCTCAAACATTAAAACTAATCCAGAATTCAGTGTTTCTGCACTTCCTCTAAGAAGAAAGGACAGCAACAGAAGAGCTCTGTGGCTTCAGGCTCGATCGCCATTCAAGTGACAGCTTTGTTTCCCCAAAAGTGGGCGGGGCCGTACTTTTTGCCCGGAAGCGACGCATGTGTTACTCTCATCTATAGATAGCTTAAAAATAAATGTGTTGTGCTTGGGCAGCTTTCTTTACGTGTGTCTTTCTTAAATCATTTTTTTACTGTGCTTTGAAACAAGGTTAGTTAGGCACGACTGCACAGAAGAAGCCTTTATAAAACTGTATATGTGACAAAATATGTTATACTAACAATAACACTTCTTTATGTTATTGTGTCTTAATGTTAAAGAGGTGATAGTTTACAGAGAACAGTAGATGGTAAGTGGCAGTACTGATGTGTTGCTGTTTATTACAAAGTTAATAAATGTGTAATTGTAATTAGTTGAAGGGACTTACACAAGGTTGATAAGGCCGAGCAGTCCCATTCCTCTGAAGTCAGTTTTTGGATCGTCGCCCTGAAATCCGATGTCTCCCCACTGTTTGGTTATCCTCGAATCCAGTTTGACCGTCGGCATCAGCAGGTCCCACAGCTGAGAGGTAAATTATTCTGGGGTTAAGTATTTCAGGTCAAATTCATTTGTATTCAAAATGTTGGAACAATAATCAAATCTTTCTATACTTTGATCAAAACCATGCTGTTTCATTGTGCCGTCTTTCTCTAATTATATAAATAGTTTCTCCTTTTAAAGCCTCAACTGCGTCGATGCAGACGGGGCATGTTAGTTCAAGATATTATCCTAAATATAAATATATGTAGAACTGAATCCAGAAGCAGGAACACACACCTTTAGGAGCATGGCCTCATGTTCTTGGTTCTCTGAGCTGAACACTTCCTTTCTCATGTTTTCCACAGATACGTACAGGCTGCTGTTTCCTGTTATCTGTAACAGACAGATGTGTAGGCTTTCCTTGAACCTAAACAGGTAGAGGGTTCAAATAAATAATTAAAAGTTTACAAAATGAAACTTAGTAGGATGCAGAAACCTGAAAGTATCAGATAAGAACTTACAGCGGATCTTTCTGGGGTTTGACATTCTTCTCTTTCATAATTTGGTCCGCACATTTTTCTAACTGATCCTTGCTGGCTTTCAAAGCTCCTCTTAAAACCTACAAGGGATGAAAGCACAGGAGAGTGGGTTACAGAGAAGAAAACATACGGGGAGTGACCACACAGTGGCAGCTGTATAATCTAAGCTGTCAGCCATGAGAAAAAAAAAAAAACCTTTCAAAGTCGACCTCAAAAACAAAGAAAAAGATGACAAAGCACTTCTGTCTCGTCATTGAATGGACTGTTGGTCGGAAAATGCTTATCCAGCTGCATCTAAGCTGGGCAAGTGTTTTGAAAGATAAGAACTGATTAAGAGCACAGGATATGACTTTACATGAGTTCACATACAACAGCATACCAGATGACTAACAGCTCTGTTGCTAAACATGATGTGTATTCTTTTCACTCCGTTGTAGGCTTACATCGCTTAGACATCAATTTAAGTGAGATTATTATCCAGATAAAAAATAAAAATAAAAATAAAAAAATCATATAAAACCAATCAAGCGACTTTCTATTGACTCCCTACACACACTGTTTGTCTCAAAAGCACCAAAAGGGTTGCTCATATAATGTTTCTGAATTTCTGACCCTATTAACATTGTTAAGGGCCTCAGGTCAACCCAACAAAGATTCCCAGCCATCCAATAGTTTACACTCAAACACTCATCACAATGGAGACTCGAAAACATGTATAAGGCAGTTCCATTCAAACCTTCTTTTATGAAAGTGGGTTCATCATTTAGTTAATACAATTCCAACAATGTATAATGCTAACCAAATAAAAAAAACTTCAAGATCCCAAAGTAATATTTTCAAAACAAAAAACGATTATCGTTAGTTTTGCTGTTTTTCATCAAGTCTGTGCAAAAGAGGGGAGTTTGTTTTTCAGCTATATAAAAGGAAACTTCAACTTGAGCATTAAACAATACAAATATTTATAATAAAATATATTCCTTAAACACAAATACTGGAAATGAACCAGGAGAAATCTTTTGTACATAAAGAAAATATCCCTGTAACACATGATCTAACAGAAACACACAGTCAACATTGTATTACCTTGTTCTTTGATGAGCGGAGAGAATATTCTGCAACAAGACACGACAAGAGACAGATTAAAATAATTGAGTAAACTTAAAACTATGCAGTAAAAGTAAACAAGATTTGGAGTAAATTCACTGACCTGCTTTGGATGTCCTTGTTGCCCCAGGCTTGTTTCCGGAGCATATTCGCTGCAGCTCACATGTCCCTGTGGCCTGTCGGATGAACCACTTCAGCCAATATCTCAGGAAGGACGTGTAGACATACTGCCAGATATACCCAAGCATCTTCTATAACATGGACAGAGAATAGAAAGAACAATATGAACAATGACAATGAAGCAGAACAATTGAAATCCTCCATCGGAGTAGCACCCCTTCAACTGTTCAAGAGTGCACTAAATGTCACTGCAAGCTGTGGTTAAGCCCTGGTCCAGCTGGAGCTGAACTAATGAATAGAATAACTAGCAGCTTTTTTGTTGGTGTTATCCATTGATCTTTGTCATAAAATAATAGAAAAAACACTTCAAAACATCCATTCCCACTCGTCATCATATCTTGTGTTGTCCAAACCACTAAAATATACCATTTACTAAAGCCTACAGCAAGAAAGGAAAACATTAAACTCACATATGAGAAATTGGAACCATCAATCATTTGGCATGTTTCAATCTACTTATCAAATAATGTACTAGCTTAAAACTTTTTTATACAAATGGAAATGTTGAACTTTAAAATGCACACTTTGACAAGCATCATTCATCTGAAAGTAAAAATGTCAATAGTCAACTATATCTACCTCCCAAACGTATTTAAGTTCAGTGTTTGAGTGTCTGCACTTTCCACCACTGCCTAACGAGACTTAGCACAATGCCTTCAGTATGAATGGGACACACTGGTGACTGTGTCATCATGACAATGGCCACAGTTCAGAGTTGTGGACAAAATATTCTGCGTTTTAAACCAGGTAATAGTCCATGATAACATGTATGAGATTCAACTGAACATTCAAATCTATACAACTACAAGTATATAATGTACAATAAAACTGGATTATGTGAAATTATCCTTTAACCGAACAGGCAAGACAATTCCATTGTGGTAGCTAGCATTAGCGCTAAAGCTAACTTTATTCAAACGAACCTATTCCGTTTGTCAAGCTACAAACATACGGCGGGTTTAGTTGCGCTTTAGAAACACTCCACCTACGTGTTAGCAGACTGAGAGCTAGTTACCTGTGACTTTAATCAACTAATTGAGCTAACTAGCTGAACAACTCCCAGGTGACAGGTTCACACAACAGGTTGTCATTGTATTCGCCAAACTGTTAGCACACGTTAGCTGTGTTATCCTAGATTAGGTTGCGTCAGATGCATTGTTGTTAGTGTATAGTATATATGACGAACAAAAGGCAGAAGTTAATCTTACCCTTTCTGCCGAAGAGACCAATATATATCCAAACTTGTCTCCACTTGCTGCAGTTAGCTGAGGGGCTGGTGAGTAAATGTTAGCTACGTTTCTCTTGACAACAGTCTGGCTCTGATGCGTTCAGGCTCTGCCCAGACATACGGCCGTTCACACGCAAGCATTACACGCAGTTGGGAAATTGCCGATATTTTAATGGCAAGTATACTCAGATTTTAACATGACATACTTGTTTTCTTTTTATGGGAACGGGTGTTTTGCAACATCTGTAAAAATAGCGGAAACACTTCGACTTTCCTTGTATGCTACTTTTCTGGATTTCTTTGAACACACCACACGCCACGACAGCCCGGTTATGGCTAGAAAGGATCCGTCTTGTGTAAAACTCTCGCGAGAGTTTGGCTGAATGTCACATGGCTGAATGTTTACGTTTGGCAGGCAGCCTTTCAGTTACGACCGTTAACATCAGTGGGCCACAGCAAATGATGATGAGAAGCTAAACTATCTATTAATTATTTCAATTACAGGGAGTGTGATTGTTGAAATAGGGTGTTAGCGGTCTTGCTGGTGTTCAAAGAAGAATGACAACACTGTAGATCACCAACACTATGGTTTATTTTTTATTCACAGGCAAGTCAACGTTGTCGCAGTGAAAGTCCCAAGATAGCTCCTGGTGCAATAAAATGTTCCCTTGCAGTGTTTTACTATTATGTCTGATGTTTCTCTATTAATATTGCTGCTGCATTAATGTGTATGTTCCATCATGTTACTGCTGTAGATGTGTTTCCGAGCCGCTCCGATTACAACGAGAGTTACAACGAGAACGTGACGTCATGTTTACACTAGACGGATCCTTTCTAGCCATAACCCGACAGCCTTTCAGTGACACAACGCTTCAGCGCCATCTACTGTACAAACTGATGTGTGCACCAAAGCTAAAGAGACATACAACCTTTCATATAAATGTTATGTATTCCAAGCATCATCTCGAAAGTAAATCCAGATAAGTGGAGTGTTAACAGGAACAATCTTAAAATCTGTTCTAAAGCTTCAAAGTGATAAGCTTTACAATACTGACCTGCGAACTCCATATACTACACAGTACACACAGGTCACTCAAGTCAACCTAGCAACTTAGGTGGCAGAGTTTATTCTGTTGCAGCTGGCGTTCTCTGCATTGAGCTGTTCCACGATTGCAAATGTTTGATGAAGTACTTTTTTTTGATTATTTTTAGTTTTGAATGTGGCTCCCCAAAGGATTTTGTCAAATCATCTTAACTTATTTGTAATGTCTTCTTACGGCTTTTGAATCTGTTGTGTAAAGCAATTTGGGTCAAATCTTGTTGTTTTCAAATGTGCTTTTCCCCCCAGCTTGACTAAAAGTCATTATTTCAGAAATACCAAAGCTCACTGTAGTTGTCTTGAAATTATTGTCTGCATATAAAGTCGGTTTCAGCTAATAGAACCAGTCTAGCCAATCATTTGCCTTTCCAAATTCAACCACAAGATGATGCTAGATCCACCAATTGACTGTGTCAGGATTAAGTTAATAGTCTACTAAAAAATAGACCAATTATTTGCCTTTATGTATTCCACACAAATTCCATTAATAGGGAGTTTTGCACATTGTGTATCATCATATCTTGGCCATATACAAAATGGTTGCAGACATATTGCTTTATCAATAAATTACATTTCTTCTCACCAACTGTGTCCTATATTCCAAACAGGCTGTCGTCAGCCTGAAGCAGCAAGTCTGGCCGCTCAGCATTTCCTACAGTATGTCCTGAGTCGCTCACCAATGGTGCACTCCACTGTAATTAATTCAGAGTCTAGCTTCTCACCTAATCAGCCCCTCTGGGCTTTTTAAACGCAAGAGGTCTATCCCATACAATTACTGCATTTCAAGAGGAGCTCCTATCTCAGGTCCAGGCTATTTTTAAACAATAAGAAACAAAGTAGCCTGCAGTCCAAGCAGGAAGCCAGTAATGCTGATATTGATATCAGTTAATAAAGCACTGATGACTTGACAGAAGGTCAATGTTATTGTATCACAAATATAACTGAAAAATACTAAAAAGGAAATGTATCAGATTTTGAATTTGATTGTGTGTCTCTTCTTCATCCACAGGGACTCGTCCTTTGGGTGCCACCAGCATGATATGGTTAACAGGAGGACCAAACAAACAGAAAACCAATGCAGGTGTTCTTTGGTACAAGTATGTCAAATGTAGTCTCAGAGAACACGTTTTTTTGTGACACACTTTCTTTGGTACAAACCAAAGAAAGTGTGTCACAAAAAAACGTGTTCTCTGAGACTACATTTGACATACTTGTACCAAAGAACACCTGCATTGGTTTTCTGTTTGTTTGGTCCTNTAGAAGACAAAAACTGTTGACGACAATGTAAAGACTGAATGGGTGTACATCTTTAGTTTTTAATTGTCCGTCCAGAAGTTTTGTCTTACTAATTAACAAATAATCATTTGTTAGGACATTTCTGGTTTTTGGTTTGTAATACAATCAGGAAACGAAGCTTCACCGATGTAAATTTTTACATAACTAAACGAGTAATAACTCTCAAATCAAGTTATTAATCGTCCGAAAAGGGACTTTACTACAAGGAGTAATGTTCTGACGTACCAGTTTATATAATCTCTCCGGGTAATACGAAAAACCCCCACAAGTACAGAAACGCATACACTTATAGACGTTTCCATTTTAGGTTTCAGGTGGGGTCTCCCTCAAAGAAGAGGGTTGTGTGAGGGGGGGAGCGGACTTTGCCGGAGGTAACCTTGAGATATTAAATGAAGACATGTAACACTGCATTTGAGTACCGCGAAGAATAATCGATCTCGAGGTTGAGAGAGTTGCCAACGGTTAGTGCTGTCTCGGCCGGTCGAGGTTAGTCTCGTCTGGCCCGAGACCAAAGTTGTCTCCCAGCTTTTCTCCACGCGTCGTGTCCGGTCATACTCTTTTGTAAAACCTTGTAATTTGAACTCCGGACAGTGTACATCTCCGTGTTTTACGTTTATACTTGGACTTTTACACAGTAATTATCGGAGATATATTCTCCTTAAATCCAGACACAAGTACATGACAATTTATTACAATAAGGGTTAGTGTCTGGGTTACTTTTTTTTTTTTCTTCCCGGAGGTCTGACATTAGGGTCTTCTTTTTACATGTTAAAAGTGAATGTTTATGTCTCATGAAACGTACGTTATGACCTCGACGGTCACAAACAGAGTCATAACGTCACTAGGGAGTAAATCGTGAGATGTAATATAGAGGTTTGTATTACAGCACGCACATTTTAACTTTTTTTGTATTATATGAATTGTAAATTCACTTTGTCAGCTACAAGGTAAACCAATAAAAATATACACGACATCTTTGCAACCACTAATTATTTCATCAGAAGTCTGGGAGTCGTGACATATGAGGTCAAATACAACAGTTGTAAACCATTAGAGAGCTCGCAAGTGAATCGTTTCACTTTGAGGGTCACGACACAGTTTTCTACTCATTATATTATCAACCTCGCGTCCTCGGGACATCGGACCCAAGGAGGAAGAGTGCGACTAAAACTTTGATTACTATGATAGAGACCACGGCTTATAGCCCGACCCTTTGTGCGCCTCGTCAAATGTGTCAGTTATGTTTATGTATTTTGTCTGTCATGTCCTGTTTTATTTTGTACTTACCTTGTCTTTCATTTCAGGCCCTGTTTTCTTTCCTCCCCCTGTGTGTCTGCCCCGCCCCTGATTGTTTCCACCTGTTCCCACTCACTCCATGTTTAAATAGTCCTGTCTCTCCCCTGTCCTGTGTCAGTTCGTCTTGTTTGTTTGTGCCAAGCCTCAGCTCTGAAAGGATTGCTTTCTCTCATGTCAGGTTTTGTTATTTTGTTGATTTTTGTAGGCTTACGTTTTTTCTTAAATTCTCCTTTTGTTATGCATAGTTTTTTCCTCTTTGTGAGCGCTTTTTGTTTATTCCAGCACCTACTCTGTTAAAAGGGATTACCTGATCATTGGAATGAATAAATACTTTTTATTACATTCAAGACTTTGTCTCTGGGTCGTGCATTTGGGTTCAGTTTGTGTCAAGGTCCTGACAGATTCATTGTTTATGGTAAACAAATCAACAGTATGCTCCATTGAGAATACACAATGTGCAGCTATGTGTCTAAGGTATGTGATAATTAAAATACCGATGGCATGGAGCACAGCCACCGAACTGAATATTGAAAGCAAGTGTTCTCTGGTAGATAGAGCAGTGGGAGGTATCATACATGTCCATATGCCTTTCAAATCCCTCTCCATGTCCCCCGTCTTTGAAACAAATCTCCCCCTGTGCTAACCGCCGCCTGTGGCCGAATCTAATCTGCACTTCCAAATGCGGCCCGGGTAGAAAGGCACGGTGAGAAAGCGGCTATTAAAGATTGAAACAGAAGCTAATTAAAGCTCGGGTGAAAGAATCTGGTGGCAGAAAGGGACGGAGTGGATGAGTAAAGGACAAAAAAAGCTCAGGATGAGGAGGGAGACACATCAATCTACCTGAGGCTGGATGTATTCAATATGACTCCACAGATTAGTGATGTCAGTTTGGCACATTTCCACCAGCTCTGTAGGTTGACACATGTATTAAATAAGAGTACTTAAAGAGGTCACTTTCAACATTTTCAGCATCTCTTTCTGACACAATATGTGAGCAGACAGAATGAGACATCCGTACAATGTCTCAGTATTATCAGTGTCCTCTGATCCTGGTGGATGAAAAAAGGCTTAAAGATTAGGGACTTCAGTCCACGATACTCTTTAGAGGTTGTGACAGAGGGTGTTTCTCTATGTCGAGGACGCTTGCTTTGTAGCACATGTCTTCCGAGTCACTTGCTTCAGAAGCGAGGCAAGAATCCTTCCTAGCCTCGGAAAACGAAGAATTGTGGAACAGGCTAACAGGTGTGCGTCCTATGCGAGGCCCGCCTTAAATGGAGCGTGATTTCCGTCAAAGATTTGGAAATTGGTCCGTGCGGAAAGCATTGTGGGGATTTTAAGACCGCAGAGTCTACACATGTGCAGCCTCGAAATTTCCCGCTATGAAGGACGCCGGCCTCGGTAGA